TCCAGGCCTTTTTCTCCTTAGAAAGGTGGGTCCAAATGGCTTCAGTTTTGGGTAGCAGCAGGCCTGTAACCATGGCACCACCAGGACTCTTTCTCTTTTGGATTAGGTGCTGATACATAGGAAGAAAACAATGCCTTATCTGTAACCATGTGATAATATTGTTGAGGTGGAAGGAGGTTGTTTTCCAGGATGAGGTGAAGGAACTGAAAGCTTAGGTATTAGATCAATCTATTCAATAGTTGTCAGCAGAAACGATCATTAGGAGATGTTGTTGTTTAGCATGTACAATGAAACATAGTTGCTGTCTGGTACTGCTCCATGGTCACAAGTGTTCTTGTTTGAGCCACATGGTCGCAGCCACTGTGTCACTCATCTTGCCCAGAGTCTTCCTCTTTTTTGCTGCCCTTCTATTTTACCAAGCATGATCGACTTCTCCAGAAACCGGCCTCTCCTGACAACATGTCTAAAGTATGTTAGATGACGTCTCAGAGGGGAAACTGAGCAGCTGATACCAAGGGCTCAAGTAGAAAGAAAATGTTTTGAGAATGATGATGGCAACAAATGTACAAATATGCTTGACACAAGGGATGTATGTGTGTATTGTGATCAGAGCTGTATAAGCCCCCGTTAAAAAAATTATTTAAAAAAAAGAAGAAGACGAAAAATATTTGCTGTCAAGTCAGTCCCCCCGATGTGTTTGTCAGGCTAGGATGATACTCCATCGAGTTGTTAATGACTAATTTTGGTTTTGGAAGTTGTTTACCAGAACTTTATTCCAAGTATGTTTGGGATAAATGCATACCTTCAGTCTTTTGGTTTACAGCTTAGTGTATTAACTATTAGACCTTACTCAAAAGAAATGTGATTTCATCAGAAAATATATTAAGTGGTCAGTCACCAAATGATATAAAAGTATTAAAATTTGTATGGTGGTAGCACTATTATAAATGTTGATTTTATGAGTTATAAATTATGGAAATATATATTGAATTCTACATTACTTATTAATCTCATTAAAATATACAATCTAGAATTGGTAATGAGCCCCTGCTTATCCAGAGACACTCAGAAGCAAGGACTGGTGATCTACTTCTGAAGAGCTAAGCCACTGAAAACCCATAGAGCCCAGCTTGACTCACGAGGTTGCCATGGAGAGAAACTGGCTGGATGCAGCTGACTTAAGCAATGTTCAGGAGTGAGGAGATCACCATTTTTTAATTTTGTCAGGAATGTAAAATATCCCTCTTGAGTCCTCAAGTCCTTTGGCCACAATCATTTCTGAATTGGGTTCCTTTCAAGAATGTATTATTCACTTCCTTTCTTAAAAAAGCAACACATGAAACACAATTTAATATTTCTTATGGATTAGGTCTATAGTAATGACAGCAGCTAACATTTACTGAGCAATTATCACATGTCAGACACCGTTTTTAAGCATTTCGCTGGTAAGAACCTATTTTTGTTCTAGCATGTTGGATATGAAAAGATCAAGGTGCGGGTAGTTTTAGCAACTTACCTAAGTTCATGCAGAAGTGACTGAGCCAGAATTCAAACTCAGTTTGGTGCATGAGCCCTTAACCATTACATGTAATGCAGCTTCTTTTAAATTTTTAAAAATCATTTTATTGGGGGCTCGTACAACTCATCACAATCCATACATACATCAGTTGTGTCCAGCACATTTGTACATTCATTGCCATCATC